TGTGTTGTTGCTAAGGCACGTGGGAACTGCTGGACACAAAGGCGAAAGAGTGTCAGAGTAGCATTGTTGATAGGAGATAGAATAAATGTGACAGCAAGAAATGATCTTGGATGGGAAGGTCTGGAATTCATATGGGCGAAGGTAAGAAATAACAAAGGAAGACAACACTGTGAGGAGTAATTTACAGGCCCACCCGCCAAGAACAATGATGCAGTAGGACAGAGAATAAATCAGGAGATTATAACGACACATAAAGGCAGTGCATTAATCAGGTAGGCTGTGACAGGCAGATTAGCAGAGGTAGCCATGAGGAAGAATTCAAAACATGTTTTCAGAACAGGTTCCTGGAACAATATATTATGAATCCAACCAGAGATCAGGTTATTTTGGATCGGTGATGTGCAATGAGACCGGTATATTAAATGATTTCAGAGTAAAACATCTCCCAGAAAACTGTGACCATAGCTCTCAGTTTGACAGGGAGAAACCTGCACTGGAAACAACTGTGCCAAATGTAGGTAATTACAAAGTAATCAGGGCAGAGCAGACTGGAGTGGACTGGGCAAGGAGTTTGGTAGCAAAGATGGTTAAGGAACTATGGCAGACATTTCAGAAAATAGTCATGGCTCACAGCAAAGATCTATCCCAGTAGGGAAGGAGTATTCTAGAAAGGAGATAAACTAACCATGGTTAACTAGGGAAGTTAAGGATAGCATCATATTGAAAGAAAACAACACACATCGTAGCAAAGATTCGTGGTAATCCAGGGGATTGGGAAAGATTTGAAAACCAGCTAATGGTGACTAAAAATATGACGAAGAGGGAGAAAGTAAACGTGGGGGGTAAACTTGCAAGTAAATCAAGATGAACAGCAACAGCACCTTTAACTATGTAAAAAGGAAGAGAGAGGCCCAAGTAAGTATTGGCCCCGGAGAGAATGACGTTGAGGAAACAATAATGGGGAACCAAGAAGTGGGAGAGGAGTTGAATAAATATTTTGCATTAGTCTTTGTAACAGAAGACACTAATAGCATTCCATAAATACAAATGAATCAAGGGGTAAAAGAGGGAGGGGATGCAAATACAATAATTATCACTAGAGAAAAAGGATGAGGAAAAATAATGGGGCTGAAGACTGTTAAGTCCCCTGGACCTGATGGGATGCACTCTAGGATATTAAAAGATGTTGTTACAGGGATAGTGGATGCACTGGTGGTAATCTTCCAGGTATCTTTAGATTCTGGAAAAGTGCCAGATGATTAGTAAACTGCCAATGTAACACCTTTATTCAAAAAGTCAATGATGAAAGAAAGAGGAGTAACTATAGGCCAGTTAGCTTAATTTCTGTTCTTGGGACCTTGTTAGAATCTATTATAAATTATTTAGAAATACATACTACAATTAAGCAAAGACAGCATGACTCCATGAAAGAACAAAGCATGTCTGACAAATTTAATAGAATTCTTTGAAGAGCTATGCAAGTCACTAGACCACGTCAGAATACGGTGTAAAGTTTTGGATCCACTTATCTAAGTTAAGATGTACTAGCATTGGATGAAGTCCAGAGAAGGTTCACTAGGCTGATCCCAGGAAAGGCAGAATTGTCTTATGAGGACAGATTGAGTAGATTGGGCCTGTATTCATTGGGGTTTGGAAAAAAAAAAAATCAGAGATGACCTTGTTGAAATATACGAGTTTCTTCAAAGACTTCAGAGGGTAGATGGAGAGAGGTTGGTCTCCCTTGTGGAAAAAGCTAGGCCCAGAGGGAATAATCTCAGAATATGGGCTCACCTACTTTGGATAAAGACAAAGTGGAATTTCTTCTCTCAGGGGGTAGTCAATCTGTGGAATTCTTTACACGCGGAGAGCCGTAGAGGCTGTCTTATTAAGTATATTCAAGGCCGTGATAGAACAGATTTATAAAAGCACAAATAGAATCGGGGTTATGGGGGGACAAAAGCAGGAAAGTGGAGTTGATATCAAATTAGCCATCATCTCTTTGGATGCCCATGCAGACTTGATGGGCTGAATGGCCTACTTCTGCTCTTACATCCTATTATGTTACAAGAGTGATGTTTTCAGTACCGTACCACGAATCCCAGGATACTATACAAAATGTATTTGGATGTCTTTTTAATTCATAAACGAGTATTTTGGAATTAATACTTAAACTGAGTGCTTGAAAATCTTTGTATTTTTGGTATAAGTAGATAGTTTGGATTACCTTCATTTCTTTTACAATAAATGGCCATTTTAGCACTAAAGCAAAATTTGCAGCATTGCATGTTTATGTTTTAGCACGGGACTTCATTAAAACCAAAACAAATATAAACATGATCTATAAAGTTGTATCAGGCTCCTGTCTTACACCTGCTGGGGTCCGAACCCTTCTCCTTGAGGATAGGTGGAAGGGTATTGAGTTGGACGATCAGCCATGATCATATCGAATGGTAGAGCAGACTCAAAAGGGCCAGCTAGCCTTTCCTGCTCCTATGTTCTAGTTTCTAAAATGAACTTTTGGCATTTGCCTACTTATTTTTCCCAAGCGTGAGTACTGAAATTTTGAGAAATCATACAGGGATCAGAAGATTGAGTGGCTTTCAAGTCAAAACAAACCAGGAATGATTTGCTCCCTATAATAGTTATCAAGAAATACATGTATCAATAAAAAACTAGAAATAAACAATATTCTATTTATAGCACAGGAGTATGTTTTTAAAAATTCATTCACATGTTCTGGGCATTGCTGATTATGATAACACTTACTGCCCATTCCTAATCGCCCAGACAACAGCTATGTTGTTTAGAGTCCAGAGTCATATATAGATCAGAGCAGCTAAGGACAGCAGATCTCCTTCCTGAGAGGACATTAGTGAACCAGATGAGTTTTTACAACAATCAAGAAGGGTTATATAGTTGCCATCAGGCCAATTCTCTGCTCCAGGTTTCACTGAATTCAGATTTCACCATCTTCCACAGTGGGAAAGCACCTTTTTTGACCATCAGACATCCCAAGGTGCTCAACAATCATTGAAGGAATTTTGAAGGGTAAGCACTGTTGTAATTTAGGAAATGTAGCAGCCAGATTGCATGCAGAACACCCATACAAACAGCAATGTGATAATCTGTTTTTGTCACGTTGATTTTGGGATAAATATTGGCCAAGGCACTAGGAATAACTCTAAATGGGGAAAAAAAAAATCAGAACTGTGGATGCTGGAAATCTGAAATAAAAACAGAAATTGCTGGAGAAACTCAGCAGGTCTGGCAGCATTTATGGAGAGAAAGCAGAGTTAACATTTCGGGTCCAGGTGACCCTTCTTCAGATCCTGTTTTCTCCTGAGGTTAATAGTTGAGGCACATTGCTGAAACAGATAAAAGGGAATCTAACCCTGCAATTTGTCTGCATGTGATACTCTTATTTGATGGCCAAGGTAGAAACAGCTGTATTCCTCAACACAAACATCCATTTTATCAAGCTAATTATGGCCTCATCTGGGAGATAGGATATTTCTGGAGTAGGTGAACAAGTGTAGACATTGCACAGTTAATCAGGTGGGCAAGACAGCGTTTTCTCTTTTTTTTAAAATTGTAGGTATGAAAATCAAAAGATATGGCACATAGATAGAATTATCATAGCTAGGCACATCAGGCTTTATTAGTCTGACCTGCTTTCAAAGCACACGATAACATTCTAACTGTCAACATCATCCATTCCTCTCTGATTAATGAAGCGTTAAATTCAGTTGAAAATGGTGAAAGACAGGACAAAATTCAGAATCTAAGCATTCTGTTACTCACTTTCAAGATAAAGTTGTCCTCAGCCTGCAATTTGAGGTCTAGGATAGACTGCTTCACACGACTTTCAAAGGGAAGGTCTCTCTTCCTGGGCACATCCAATGCTGGGAACAGATCACTGATCAGGCCCATGAAAATTGGCATGTCATCAGTGACTATCTTTGGAATGTTGAAGTCTCGAAGAGCCCGCATCAGGACTTGGTCTTCAGGACGGCCTGGGTCACCTCTCTTCAAAGAGCCAGCTACAACCAGCACTGACTTGATTGCTCGAAGTCCCCAGTCATAGTGATCCTAGGGAATAACAATTACTGAAAACTACATAACTTTGGTAAAAACATATCCAGATTCCCAAAGACACGGGTAAGTGGTCACCATTGCTCTGCTTGCAATTAGATTGATTACAAATTATTAACATAGATTGTAAATAGCTGAAAGCCTGGCACCAATTCTTGGAGCATTTTTCTCCTGCCAGATTGAAAATGCCCTGTTTCTGCCCATTTTCTGCTTCTTGACTGGTAACCAGTTCTCTACCCATGCTAATGTATTACGTCAACTCCATAATCGCTGATCTGGGCTCTTAACCTTTTGTGTGGCCTGTTACTGAGTGTTATTTTGAAATTCAGTTGTATTACATCAACTGATCCCTTCATGTCCCTGACTAGTTAGACCCTCTGCCACAAATTGGTTGCCATTAACAGTAGCATTATAGGATAGTGATAAGCTTCCACTCTGAAAGTTCCTTTGAAACAGTTTAATCATCTGAAAATTCTGGATGAAGTTTATAGCTGCAATAATTTGATGATTTTATACAGACCCAGTCTATTTAAAGATATTTCAAAATGGCTACTGAAGGGATGGTAGCAGGCTCGCCCATGGATAACTTGCATTTGAATTAAATGCTTGTCTTATTATTTTAGCTAAGGGATTCATCAATTTACTCAAAGTCTTTATTATATTAATGCCATATTAAGAGGAGAGAGACAATCTCCATGCAATTCATTAATAGATTTGCAACTGGGATCTCACAATTTCACCCTCCTCATCTGCAACGATTTTTGGGGCTTCCAATTTGTACGTTCCTTGCGCGATGCTCTTTTCATCATGAAAACTCTTTCTCCTTTGTAATTCTATTTCACATAACACCAAGCTTGACTGCTGAATTGTTAATTTTGTCAATAAAATGTTTACACTTGCTTTCAGGAATTTTTTTTTAAGTGGTACGACTTCAGTAAAACTAAAATCAATAAAAATAAATGTACAAGTACGCAAACTAATTTCTTTGGTGCATGAGTGAGTGAGTTGGGGGGAGGTGAATATGGGCAGGGTAATCAATACCTGGTTTCATTAGTGCAAGGCTTTCTTTTAGTCGTGCATTTTACGTTCTGAGTGAGCAGTCAATCATGTTCTTGCTAGTAAAACGGGACTGAGGAGCATATGAGCAAACTAAACACTCGTTTTAACAATGGTACAAACTGCATTTGGCTACAAAGAAATATCTAAGGTATTCAATATGAATAGCTGCTTAAAGTAGCCATTGATTTTTCTAAAGAAATAATTTCTTTGTGAAAATCCTTGTCATTATGAGGGATTTAGTTCAGACACGTTGAGGAAGCAAAGATGATTCTGACTCCTTCAAACCAATTAGCTGCAACATTTACATGACTGTGATGTGCTAATGATGTTTCAGAGATAGCAGGAACTGCCGATGCTGGAGAATCTGAGATAACAAGGTGCAGAGCTGGATGAACACAGCAGGCCAGACACCATCAGAGGAGCAGAAAGGCTGACGTTTCAGGCCTAGACCCTTCTGCACCTTGTTATCTCATGTGCTAATGATTATAGGTCATGTGCAATGTCAGGCTATCTTCCTGACCCTAAAGATTAGTGTGCACACTTTAATTATGCTTATATAAAGATAAGGTTCCGAATGACAAATGTTTCTATTAAGAAGCAGCTGTGGGCTTGATAAGTTTCACTGTCTTGAAATAAAGTATTTAAAATGTATTAAATGACAATGTAATTTACAGTTTATTCATCTGCTTTAAGTGACAATCTTTAAAGATTTCTGTAGTAATTGGGAATGAGTGAAATTGCAAAGTGACAAAACCAATTGAAAATGTATACAGGTTTCAACAGAGATGATAAATAATAAAGATCTCTGAACATGCAAGAAAATCACTTGGCATAAGCTATGGTAAATCAGTGGATGTATATTATGCACTGGCCTATTTCTAAGTTGTGTACTGGTGGGGTCTCCTATTCATCCTCTCTATATGAATCCTAACTCATCGTAGTATTGCTGTGACTAGGCAGCCCAGTGGAAAGAAAAATTAAAGCCTGCTTTATTCTTTATACTGTGAATACAAATGAGATGCAAGACAAATGTTCTGAAACGTTATCTTCACTCCCACAACACATGCATTCAAACCACATTCTGCAAGTGAAGGACAGCACATTGAAACGGGTAGCAATAGTGGGTAAAACTCTTTTTTAAAAAAAAGTGTAAAACTTTCATTAATTTTATCACATAATCCTTGGAACATCAGAGTAGCATTTCCAACTGTGTATTCTTAGCTAATGCATGTCACCTCACCTGTTTTGAAAGCAGTTCTTTACAAAGCTGATATAAAGTGATGAACTTCCGGGCTAACAACCTTGCTTCAATGAACCCTTCTGCGACCAGCATGATTTCACAGATCAGCTCAAAGTCTGGCACCACCATTGCACACGGTCTGCAATACAGTCAGTCAGTGGATGTAAACGCACAATCATTATCAAAACATTGAGGGCACATAGTGGTATGAGTGCATATAGTTCTGTTCTTACACAAATGTTTGAGAATCTGTCGTAGTTGAATTGCCTTTGCCTGTGCCTTCCTCATATTCACAAAGCACAGTTTATATCCTCCCTCACTCAGCAAATGGTAGAAAAGTGATGAATAATCCAGAAACCTGTTCAAATCCCACCATCTCCAGCTGACCAAAATTGAAATTCAATTCAACAGTAAATCTAAGATAAAAGGCCGAGTCAGAACTACTGAATGCTGATAAAAACCCATCTGGTGCACTAATAACCTTCAGGGAAGGAAATTGTTTTGTATTTCCATTTGACATACACTTAGCAATCACATATCAAAGTTTGGCAAAAACAACAATGTGGCTCTTTCTTTGAAAATTGGACTGTATAGAGACAGTGGGAATTGGGAGTCTATGTAGACACATTTGACCTATAGGAATGCTGCTGTTTTCTCTATAGCCTGTGATATGCTGGATTGTGACAGACAGCAATTTAAGATATGCTTTGCAAAGTCACATGTACATCACACCACAACAGAAATCTCCATTCCTTATCTAGTCTGCCCCAAACGTGATTCCAGAACCAGAGCAATGTGATTGAATCTGAAATGTCCTAATACGCTACTCAGTTCTTACAAACTGTTAGCACATTGCAATCCATGCATGTAGATGCATCAGTGATTCAAGAAAGTGATTCAGCAACATCTTCTTAAGGACAACTAGCGATGCACATCAATGCTGGCCTTGCCAAAAAAGCTCACATTCCCCGAATGAATGTAAATTTTTTACAAATATACAGGAACTTAAAGCTTGAAGGCTTTTGTGTTGTAAGCAATTCAGTGAAGGCTGACTGAACTAATACCTAGAATTAGTGGACAGCCTTATGAGGAAAGGCTAGACCTGTATCCTCTTAAGTTTAGAAGAGTCAGAAATGATGTAATCTGAACATAGTAGACCCTGAGGGGACTTGACTAGGTAGATAGGAAAAGGATGTTTCCTCTTATGAGAGAATCTAGATCTGAGAACCACTGTTTAAAAAGAAGGGGTCAATCATTTAAGACAGATGAGGAGATTTATGTTTCTCAGAGGGTGGTGAGACTTTGGAACTCTCATCGTTAAAAAGATGGTGCTAACAGAGTCCAGGCAACTAAGCCAACCAGTACTCCCAGGAGTCAGAGTTGCTGTGGCAACATGCACTTTTATATGCATGTTGCAGCCTTGAGCCATGGATTGTGGTGGTTAAGGCACCAATTTTATTTCAATCACATGGAATCTCCCACACTTTTACTGCCCAGCAAGGGTGTATATTGAATGATTTTGAGGCTGATACTCAACACATCTGGCTGAAACCACCTTCCTTGGCCATTAATTCATAAGCTTCAGGCTTAGAGATAGACAGACAGTGTGACAATACCTCCAAAGAGCTTTTGTTACTGAATAGCGTCCTTCTTATTGTTCAAAGGACAGTTAAGAATCAACATTACTTTTGGTCAGGGGTCACACGTAGGCCAGATCAGACAAGGGCATCAGATTTCATTTCCTAAAGGACACTAACGAACCAGATGAGTTTTTGCAATGACAATGTTCACTAACAGGCCAGCTTTTACCTCCAGATTTTTTATTGAATTGAAATTTCACCATCTGCCATGGTGGGAATTGAATTTACTTGCCCACATTAATTAGCCTGGGTTTCTGGATTACGAATCTGGAGATATTACCGTTATGCCACCCCTTCCATTTTGTAATTAATGAATTAGCCACTCAGCACCATGAGCCTGTTCCGCCATTCAATAAGACCACGGCTGATCTGATTTTCCCACATTCCTGACTGTGTCTGATAACCTTTCACCTCTCTGCTTAGCCACCTCCCGCTGCCGCAAAAATATCCAAAGATGGTTTAGAGCAGATTGGTGCCAACAGTATGGAGTTCAACCATCGTTGCCGCTGGGATGGATTTGGGAACTGCATCCTTGTCTTACCTGTGGTGGAGACAGTACCTGCCTTCTGGCAGAGAACTGAACAGCAATTGGGATACTGAGTTTATGTGGTCAGCTTCTTGCTGAAAACGTCTTCAACTTTTTCAAAATGTCTTTTACCACAGCCATTGTCAGACAGTGATTTGGCCCACTGATTCGTGCAACACTAAATCCAACAGGGCATCACATAACCTGGGAGAATTCCTGGTTTGAATCGAATGGCAATGGATTAATTATTCCCAGTGACTTTGGGTCGGGATAGCAGAAAGACGCACTCACCTGAACAGGGCCTTCAGGTTCTCAGGAAGTTCGGTACGTCCTGCATAACCAGGATTCATTGTGATAAAGATGCCAACCGATAGAGTTAGATTGATCTCTTCACCCATGAAGTTGAAGCGTCTTTTTTTGTCTCGGATGGCATCCTGGATAGATTTCACCTATACGAATGTCAACAGCAGAGATGTGTCAGATCTGTCAAATTCTGGTTGTCACCACACAGCGCTGGTGTCAACTTTTGTATCTCACCTCCACGCAGAGATGACATTAGTTTTGAGGTGTATAACAGATTACAGCCAGGGTGCTTTACATAATGCTTTCAAATGTCTGCTCCATGCATGTGGAGTTAGATCTGACACTCTGACCTCCAAACTGAATGTAAGTGGGCACCAATGGAGTTGGGGATTGGGGAGGCCAGCATGAGAATCAATGGCTTGTACCACAGAAGAAAGTTTTTTTAATGATTTTTCTTAGAAAATGATCAACCCCCTTTACTATTAATAGAGGTGTTGTAGTCTTAGGGAGTGGGCCTCAGAATCTGTCCTCAAGTGGGCACAGGGGCTGATTTTTCACTTGTATAAGGTAGAGCAGCATCAGAGATTAAACCACAGTGGTATGAGATTCTGTCCATTCAAACAGGTACCCTGCTGACCTCACAAAGTACAACCTGAAAAAAAAAGCAGAAGTGGATGCAATACTCATGTTTCATGCTCCACAGATTCTCAGGCCAACCTTACGTTGACATAATTTGAGATCAGCAGAACACTAGGCATATTCCTGCTCCTCTTCAGATAGTGCCATTGGGATCTCAGATATCTCCCTAACCCATAGGAGTGAGCAAATTGATTTAAAGTTCTGATGTGAAGTTCTAACATGCGCACATTTAATCATGGAGACAAGCAGGAGAGTAGTGAAGAACAAAGAAGAATCAGCAATACCAATGGAATTTTTGTTGGTTATACAAAGCTATTGCTTGTTCTCGAGCGTGTGTCATCACTGGCAAGACTGCATTAATTGCCAATCACTAACTGTTCTAAGGTGGTAGTGGGAGGTCTACTGCGTTGGACTACTGCATTCATTGAGGTAATATGGACTGAGGTAGGGAATTCCACGATATTGATCCAGTTATGTTGAAAGAATGGCAGCATCTGTCCAAGTCAAGGGGCTGAGCACACTGCGGGGCCGGCTGTACAAGATGCACGCGAGGACAATTTTAATTGAATTTAAACAGACATTGGACCAGCTCCAACTTATCATTGTCAGTGTCAACAGAAGTCAACAGGAGACAAAGATAAAAGCCTATTTAAGCCACGTTTCTCTTTTCAAACATATCCATTGATGGATGGTGTCCTTGGTGGCAGCTTAAAACAGCACCTCAGGAGGCAGCAGAACACAACTTTCAGGCAAACAGCATTGCTGCTGTATTCTGCAAGGCGTACACCTGATAATCCCATTTGTGTTTTTAAACATTTTCTAGCTTCAATAAATAACTTCATTAAACTTTCATATGGTCCTCTATTGCATCAAGTATAATACTATTTATGTAGCTCTGTTAAAATGATGCAGTGATTTTTATTTATTCTTAATAGAATTCCCAGTGTAGAAGCAGGCCATTTGGCCCATCGAGTCCACACAGACCCTCTGAAGACCACCCCACCCAGACCAACTCCCCTACCCTATCCCCATAACCCCACATTTCCCATGGCCAACTCATCTAACCTACACATCCCTGGACACTACAGGCAATTTAACATGGCCAATCCATCTAAATGACACATTTGGACTGCGGGAAGTAACTGGAGCACCGGGAGGAAACGGGGAGAACGTGCAAACTCCACACAGTCACCCAAGGTTGGAGTCAAATCTGGGTCCCTCGCGCTGCGAGGCAGCGGTGCTAACCACTGTGTCATCATGCCGCCCTTAATAAGATCTGGACATCATTGGCAAATTCAGCATTTGTTGTTCATCACTCATTGCACTAGAGAAGGTGATGGTGACCTGCCTTCTTTAACTGCTGCAGTCCATCTAGCGCTGATACCATCAGAATGTGGTTAGAAAGTGAAGTCCATTACTTTGCTCCAGCAACAGTAAGGGAAATATGATACAGTTCCAAGTCAAGATATCTGAGACTTAAAAGGGAACTTGCAGATGATGCTATTGACATGTGGCTGGAGCCCTAGTCCTTCTAGGTGGTAGTGGTCATACACCTGCAAGGTGCTGCTAAAGGAGCCTTGGTGAGTTGCTACGATGCATCTTGTAAATAATATTCAGTACTGCCAGTGTGTATCAGTGTTGAAGTGAGTGAATGGTTATGGTAGTGGATGGACTGATGATTGAGTGGGCTGCTTTTACCTGGATGATGTTGAATATTTGGAGCATTGTTGGAGCTCCATTCATCCAAGCAAGTATTCCATTACATTCCTGATACGCACCTTACAGATGGTCAACAGGCTTTAAAGGAGTCAGGTGGTGAGTTACTCATCACAAACCTGATAGCCAATGACTTGTTTTTATAACTACAGTACATTGATAGCTGGGACTCAGCAACTGTAATTATGTGAAATGTCAAGGGGAGTTTATTCAACGCACTCTTGTTGGAGATGGTCATTGTCTCGCATATACATGCTACTTAACAACCAAAGCAGAATATTGTTTAGGCCTTGCTGCACATGGCCACAGCCTGCTTCTGTGTCTGAGCTCTGAGGTGGTGAGAGCACCACTGAACATTGAGCAATTATCTGGAAACATTCCTAATTCTGATCTTACGATAGTGGAAACATCATTGATGAAGGAGTTGAAGAAAGTTGGGCTTAGGACGTAACCCTGCGGAACTCCTGCTGTGCTGTCCATTAATCGAGTTGATTGACGTCCAACAACCCCCAACCATCTTCACTTGTGCTAGATATGACACCAAATAGCGGAGAGTTTTTTCTCTCTCTCCGATTCCCACTGACTTTGATATTGGTAGTGTTCCTTGATTCCCCTCAGAGTCAAATGTGACTTTGATGTAAAGGACAGTCACTCTCAGCTGTCCTCATGAATTCAGTTCTTTTGTCCATATCTCAACCAAGACTTCAATGAAACCAGAAGTGCTGTGGCTGTGCTGGAACCCAAACCGAATGTGCAGTAAACAGACTATTACTGTGTAAATGCCGTTTGATAGCACTGTCAGCAACACCCTCTATCATTTTACCAATAGATCGAGAGTTGGCTGATAGAGAAGCAATTAGCCACATTGGATTTGTCCAGTTCTTTGTGACTAGAATATACCTGCATAAATTCCCATTGTTGCATGGGTGCCATTGTTAGTCGTGTTGCAGTCGTACTAGCACAGCTTGGTTATGGGTGTAGCTAATTCTGGAGCTCAAGTTTTCAGTTCTACTATCAAGATATGTCAGGGTCTGTACCCTTTGCTGTGTACAGATCCATCAGCTGTTTCTTGATATTACTTGCAGTGAGTTGTATTGGCTGAAGACGCCATCAATGATGCTGGGACCTTTAGGGGGAGGAGCAGCCACTTCTGGCTGAAGATGGCTAAAAATGTTTTACCTTTGAATTTTTACACTAACTGGGCTTCTCCATTATTTGCAATGGAGATATTTATAGAGTCTTCTCCTCCGGTTAGCTGGTCAAGAGTAAACTTCAGTATTATCAGAAACAATAACAGTCAAGTAAACATCGTGATTCAGAAAGGAGGATTTCTGCCCGACTAACTTTCCTGTATTGATTTGGTCTAATTTGGTGACAACAGGTTCAATAGCACCTTTCAAAGGAAATTGGGAAAATAGTAAAATGTGATTGACAGAAGTTGGAGATTTATGTGGTAAGAACAAGGTATTGGAATTAACCAGATGGTCAGCATAGGCACAATGGGCCAAATGGCTTTCCTCCATATTATATACTTCAATAATCAAATAAACCCAATAGTCTATAGCAAAACCCATAACTTGCTGGGTTGTGTCGACAAAAGACTATTTGTTAGGTTCATTGTTATGGGCACAAAGTTGAAAGCTGGAGCTGGATAATAAACTGACTGAAGACCAGGACACAATAAATATTCACTGGGGCAGTTTTGAGTAGGAGAGTCAGAGGACTGCAGAGCTTCAGGAGTCAGGGCTGTTTATTAATTTAGCTCACTGACCTAGATTCAGAATGTAAATTGTACAAATTTAAACTGGAAGGGGCAGTAAAATAAATGGAAACAGGACAAAGAACTTAGAATGACAAGCTACGTGTGTGGCCCAAATAGCAGTTGATGGAATTTAACACAGAAAAATATATGTTGCTACAGATCAGAAGAAAACAGATGCCACATATAATGATATTCAAATTCCTAGCTTAAATCTGAGCGAGACTGAGGAGCTTCAGGTGACTCAATGTACAACATACAGGACAGCAATCAACCAAGATAAAAGCATTTTGTTTGATTATAGGTGGACAGAATTTGAATCAGAGGAGATAGTGGTCATACAAATTGTGGTCAAGTCAGGCCGTGCCTTCAATATTGAGGCAAGTTCTGGTGGGAAAGCTTCAAGAGATTTGTTTGCATGTTGAAGGCACCATGGTAGATTCTAATTGTCACAGGGCTAATTTGGATGCATAGAGTGGAGAAATTTGGGCTTTTCAGTCTAAAAAGGGGCTGACTAAACGAGGGTCTTTTGTTATTGTGTGGTTTGATGCCATGCTATGAATTTGCCTTCTTAGGAGAGTGGTCAAGGAGAACGCAAAACCAAAAACCGTCAGGCTTAGACTTAAAAGTAAGGCTTTATCTGATATATTTTCTGCACTAAATTCTGCTATACATAGTAATCTCAGAAATACCGAGCTGTCATCTTAAAGTTACTTTAGGTAAGGACTAATCTATCTTCTTCATATATTCATGTCAATATGATCATAGAATCCCTACAGTGTGGAAACAGGCCCTTCGGCCCAACAAATCCACACCGACTCTTGGAGCATCCGACCCAGACTCATCTCCCTATAACCCACCTAAGCTACACATCCCTGAACACTACAGGCAATTTAGCATGGCCAATCCACCTAACCTGCACATCTTTGGACTGTGGGAGGAAGCCGGAGCACCTGGAGGGGCAGACTCAGGGAGAATGTGCAAACTCCACATAGACAGTCACCCGAGGGTCCCTGGAGCTGTGAGACAGCA